CTGACGTTGTTTGTGGTTCAGGAGTGGCTTAACAAGAGGAATATGACAACTGTAGCCAAATTCCTTGACACGTCTGTGTGTGGTGGCTCTTGATGCCTTGACCCCATTCTCAGTCCATTCCTTGTGAAGTTCACTCACATTCTTGAATCGATTTTGCTTGACAATTCTCATAAGGCTGCGGTTCTCTCGGTTGGTTGTGCATCTTTTTCTTTCACACTTTTTCCTTCCACTCAACTTTTTGTTAACATGCTTGGATACAGCACTCTGTGAACAGCCAGCTTCTTTGGCAATGAATGTTTGTGGCTTACCCTCCTTGTGAAGGGTGTCAATGATTGTCTTCTGGACAACTGTCAGATCAGCAGTCTTCCCCATGATTGTGTAGCCTAGTGAACCAAACTGAGAGACCATTTTGAAGGCACAGGAAACCTTTGCAGGTGTTTTGAGTTGATTAGCTGATTGGCATGTCACCATATTCTAATTGGTTGAGATAGTGAATTGGTGGGTTTTTGTTAAATGTGAGCCAAAATCATCACAATTAAAAGAACCAAAGACTTAAACTACTTCAGTCTGTGTGCACTGAATTTATTTAATACACAAGTTTCACAATTTGAGTTGAATTACTGAAATAAATGAACTTTTCCACGACATTCTAATTTACTGAGATGCACCTGTATTGGGTTTACGCGAGAACCTTTAGGATCATAAAAGCTATGGGCCTAAAAGCTAAGTTTTTAACAGCAGATACTGTTTTATTAAGGATTTGTGGTCAAAAGTGGTATTTTTGCCCTAGCCAAAATAAAAAGGAATAGATTTTTACGTTTTTTTAAAGAAAATGTCAGTGTTGCTTGCCAGTGCATAACTCACCGTCACGAGTTGGACTGAGGACTTGACCAAAACACGCTAAAACTGATGTTGAGTGGTTCTGACGCTTTTGTTAAAGTGTTCTGGTAAAAAAAAAAAAAACCGGCCCACCAAAAGGCCTCAATAAACTAAATCTACTTCATGTCTACGTACATGTGATTTTTTTCACCCGTTTTAGCGCCAGCTGCTTGATTTGAGATATTATCTAGTTTTCACTGACATCTATTGGTGAAAAGTGAAATCGCACCTATAGCCCTGTTGAAAAAAAAACAGCATATGCTGGTTAGGTATGTTTTGACGCTGGGATGCTGGTTTAAGCTGGTCCTTTGCTGGTCCTTTACCAGCATAAACCAGCAACCCAGCGTCAAAACATACCTAACCAGCATATGCTGTTTTTTTTCAACAGGGAGGTCAAAATTAAACACTTAGGCTATATTATATTATATTATTAACAACTATTTATTAATTTCTTTGATCTTTTAAGCGTTTCGCAGACACATTTATTCAAAGCATACCGTTTGAGCTACAGAACAGAAGACTCATTGCATTATATCATTATATTTGAGTTTTGTGAAATTTTTGATGTAGACATAACACTTCACAGATAATACAGATCTAGTTGTCACACCAGCTTTTAATTAAAAAGACAAATACTTTATTTTAAAAAAAAAAGATTAATGGGTATACATGAGGTTTAATGCTGTGTCCGAAATCGCTTACTCGTTCACTATTCTCTGTGTATGGAACTACATTTGAGTCCACTGTGTGGAGAGCTATCAAAGTTACGCGACATATAGCCCGTCATTCTACTTCCTGTTTGGAGGCGGGTCTGGATCTGTAAACACTTACACAACGTGCTGTGCACTGCAGCAGACTGCCGGCCGTAAACACTGCAGACCAGGTAAAATAGAAAAGCGGTCCTGTTTTAAATAGTTGAACAAAGCAAACTCCTATCAGTACGTATACTGCATACAAATTAATATAATTAGCTACATAGACTTACATACCAACTGTCGTAAGTCAATGTCACGAGTGAAATGATGATGTGTTTTCTCGTGTTGTGAGTAGGTGGAGGTGGCGTGGGGGGGGGGGGGGGGGGGGACTTGGCATCATACACAAAATTACTATTGTATTTCTACAAGGGCATTAAAAACTCTTTGGCTATAAGTGGCTCTACCTCCAAGCCAGTAGGTGGCGGTATAGAGCATAAACCATTTTTATCTTTATAAATCTCTTTTTCAGTCCTGATGACCTGTCGGAAGTGTTGGCGGCTGGAACCAAGGAGTCTCACGACAAAGCAGAGAACTCGCCCTTTGTCAAGGACTTCCTGAGGGGCCGAATCAAACGAGAACTTTTTAAGGTGAATCTAGTGTTCATGGACTTTTGTAGAGTTTGATAAATGAGCCAATCTTGTTTTGACCTCCATTCTGTTGCTATTTTGTCCCCCAGCTTGGCACAGCTGCCCTGTACTACGTTTATTCTGCCATTGAGGAAGAGATCGAGAAGAACAAGGACCACCCCATGTTTGCCCCACTATATTTCCCCTCTGAGCTTTACCGGAGAGACGCCTTGGCCAAAGACCTGGAGTATCTCTACGGTGAAGACTGGGAGAGCAAGATCTCCTGCTCAGCAGCCACACGGCCCTACGTGGACCGCATTCATGAGGTGGGACGAGACGATCCGGTTCTTTTGGTCGCACACGCTTGGACCCGCTACATGGGTGACCTGTCAGGAGGGCAGATTCTGAAGAAAGTGGCTCAGCGGGCTCTAAAACTGCCCCCTACTGGTGAGGGAGTGAACTTCTACCATTTTGAAGGCATCCACAACCCCACGGCTTTCAAGAGGCTGTACCGCAGTCGGATGAATGAGCTGGAGGTGGATGCAGAGACCAAAAAGAAGCTGCTAGACGAAGCCAACCTGGCATTTCAATATAATCTGGATGTAAGAGAATTATCAAATATGGCTTGCTTTTTTGATCCAGATCTTTTAAAGGAACAATTCACCTGTTAATGAAAAATTGCGGAACATGTACTCACCGTCAGGTCATCCAAGATGTAGATGAGTTTGTTTCTTCATTAGAACAGATTTGGAGAAATGTAGCATTAGATCACTTGCTCACCAATGGATGCGCTGCAGTGAATGGGTGCCGTCAGAATGAGAGTCCAAACAGCTGATAAAAACATCACAATAATCCACACCACTCCAGTCCATCAATTAATGTCTTGTGAAGTGAAAAGCTGCGTGTAATAACTTTATCACAAAGACGTTTTTAACTTCAGAGCATGGCTTCCAGTCAATTCGTAATATTGCTTTCTCAAGTCATTTCATCTGAAACAGGAGTGAAATATGTACAACGTAAGCACCGTTTACAAGCAAAAAAAGTCCAAAACATTACTAAACAAATATTAGTGGATTTTGATGTGAGAGGAAAACAGGAAATGGAGATTTTTCACTGGCGAAATCATTGTTACGGATTATGGACTTGTATTTTGGCCAAAAGCAACGGTTTAAAGTTAAAACACCTTAATAATGATTTTGTTTCTTACAAACACGCAGCTTTTCATTTCTCAAGAAGTTAACTGATGGACTGGAGTAGTGTGGATTATTGTGATGTTTTTAATCAGCTGTTTGGACTCTCATTCTGACGGCACCCATTCACTGCAGAGGATCTATTGGTGAGCAAGTGATGTAATGCTACATTTCTCCAAAATTGTTCTAATGAAGAAAATCTACAGCTTAGATGGCCTGAGGGCGAGTACTATTTTCAGCGAATCCTCATTTTTGGGAGAATTAAGTTGTTAAGTACATTTATGTGCGTTTAAACAATGTGTTAATAGTAATTTTTGAACTTCATCAGGTATTCACAGAGTTGCAGGAGATTGGGAAAGATATAAAAGAGGAAGTGCAGGACATTGGCTTTCATGCACATGGGGATATGGGTGGAGACAGCAGTAAATGCCCCTACTATGCAGCCAAGATGGGTGAGTTGTTAGCGAATAGCGACTATGTTTTTAAAATGTTTTATATTAGGTACATTTAAAATGTTTTTTTGTTTTTACTCAACTGCTTCCCTCATTTTCTGTCTAGCGGTGAGTGGAAACACGACTTATGCATGTAATTTTGCCAAGATGCTGCTTCGACAGTCCACAGTACAGGTGATTCTGGCCACATGGGTCGCTGCTGTCGCTGGATTGGCTGCTTGGTACCTCATGTGATCACCTTTTCCTGAGTCAGCCAATCAGAAATGAAAATAGCAACAGCTGGGCTTCAAAGTGGAAATCTTTCACTCACTGGGCCACTTTGTGAAAATATTGCTGCCGATCATATAAATATGTAAAGTCACTGACTGGATTTTAATCCATGCCACGTATCTGTATTAAATACAATGCTTTTAAAGGAGATGTGACATTCTTTATCCTGTTTTCAATCTCAGTCGAGAGTGTAAGCACACATGCTAGAAGACATTGGAGCTGCTTAAAATAAAACTATTAATGCAAGAACGGTTTCTTTGACCATTTGTGATTGCAGTTGCACATTGTAATACACGTTCATAAAAAAAAATATTCAGGTTCATCACTGTGGTGCAGTGAATAAATCATAAGAGTGCCGTCTCTTCAGATTTTAATGTCCATGTTTTACCAAAGCACAGAAAGCAGAGGAGAGTTGGGAGTGCTTGGCTTTAACTCAGTGTCTCACTAAAATATTCCCATATTTATCTGCTACACATAAAAGTAACTGGAATTATAGTAATTCTATAACTTATTCCTAAACCATGTAAATAATGTCAAGTACACAGAATGTGGCTTTATAACCCACTGAAAACAAGGACATTTTACATTTTGTGCTTGGGGTTACTGTATTGTTACCACCCAACCAATCAACTTTTACACTCTCATTAGAAGGGTTTTACTTTAGTGACGTTACGTTCAACTCGGAAGCTTGTATCTAAAAATACAACACATTTCACTTTGAAGCACCTTATCGGAGCTTGATTCGTTTTGCTAAAAGCACGTGATTTACGATGTCTGAAGCTTCGTTTGCCTGAAAACTACTAATGACTGCTTCAGTATCGGATTCAAATGAAGCGAACCTCAGCGCCTTTTACATTATAATGCGCTAGCATTGCTTTTTTTTTTTTTTTTAATCGTAATTTATAAATTAAGCTCAAATGAACTTTGCCCATGAAATAAGTCTTAAGGCAGAATTAAAATAGACAAATCACAGATTTAATTTATGAATTTGTTTGATTTATTTGACTTATTTTAGTTGCAGTACACCGATACAAATCAATGACTTTGACAATGGCCATTATTTATATACAATAAAATAAAACAAAGAATCATTTGTAGAACCAGATGTGAAACCAGCAGCTGTAATGGAACACAGCCCTTTGGAAGGTGCTATTCATTTTTATGACCACTAGATAGCCACAGCATAAACAGTGTCGAAAAGCTTCACGTAATAAACCTTTTTCCGATACTATAGTGTTGAAAGCTTTGCTGGTTCAGAATGCTTAACTTCACCAGCACTAGCTCTTTTCTAGTTAGATAACTGATGCTGTTATAACACTTCTCAATCTCATCTTCAGGGGAAAAAATTCAAACGAAATCTGTAGAGGCCTACAACAACAAAACGTGATGCAAAGTAAACAATATACAAATAGAAAGTGCAGGTAAATAAATGTGAATTCATCTAATTATCTTGCTGTTTTTCAAAACTGATGTGACTTTACTGTATTTTTCATCCATTTTCTAACGCTGTAAGGGCCCTGATATACTTCAAATGAAATCGAATTCATGTCATTTTGATGTCATTTCCAACAAAATCAGGCCGAAATGAAGTTTGTTTTGGCAGTTCGAAACAGCTCACCAAACTAAGGTGACCAGACGTGCCACTTCCCGGGGACATGTTCGGCACAGGATTTCTAAGGCCATGTCCACACATACACGGGTATTTTTATAAACTGAATTTTTCCCCCAAAAAATCTCCGTCCACATGAAAACGCAAACGCATGCTACGAAGCACTGTCAAGAGCATGCCAAACCAACAGGTGGCGATATAATCTCAACCGTAAAGCCATGTTGGCCAATCAGAAGCCTGAAAAAGTTTCCAGTAGGCGGAGATAACAGCGCAGGCTCCGACGTCACAAGCCAAAGGCCCCGTCCACACGAACGCGGTTATTTTTCAAACCGCAGCTTTTTCTATGTGGTTTGGCCATTTGTCCACACGCAAACGCAGCACAAGGTCACTGAAACCAAAGGCATTTTTGAAAATGCCTGCCAGGGTGAAGATTTTCAAAAACTCCGGTTGCAGTTTTATCATGTAGCCAGCGAAACCAGAGTTGGCTTGTGACATCGGCGCCTGCGCTGTTTTCTCCGCCTACTGGAAACTTTTTCAGGCTTCTGATTGGCCAACATGGCTTTACGGTTGAGATTATATCGCCACCTGTTGGTTTGGCATGCTCTTGACAGTGCTTCGTAGCATGCGTTTGCGTGTTCATGTGGACGGAGGTTTTTTTAAAAACGGAAGGAGGAAAAACTCAGTTTTTAAAAATACCCGTGTACGTGTGGACATGGCCTTAATTGCCTAAAATAACCAGGTGTTAGTTGTTTGCGCTCTGCCAATCGATCGTTGTATACGATCGTTGACTGAATAGCTGAGCTGGAACAAATGTTTCTGCACCTGTACGATCGCTCGCGGAGAGACTTTAAAGATTCAGAGAAGGCATTTATTGTTGTGTTTAGGGGATACGCACGAGCGGCGCGACATTCACATTAATCTACACCCCGCCTCCAGCAGCGCGAGGGTGTTGAAACGTTTAAAAACAGTATACCATCGCTCAGCCTTTTCAAACTTTTTGCCCCCAAATGAAGAACGAAAAATTACTTCGTTTGAAGTATATTGGGGTCATAAACATTTGTATGGGTCACTGAGGTGTAAAATGTAGCCAAAACTTTTGCCGCAGAAATAATATACAAAGTCGAGTGAAGTCATGCTCTTATTTTAAATTTAGCACAGTGTGACAACAGGCACAGCGTTTATTTGCTACTGTTTGCTTTAGAGATGCTCAGTCTTAATGTGAATACCGCGTTCCAGACACTCTTTGCACTCTTCCGCGCTCAATTTCCTGAAACCTATATTCATGTCTTTTATGGCTTTCCTATAGGTTTCATATGAACACGCAGTTGAACTTTTGCCTTTAAAGTCTTTGTACATCTTCATGACAGTTACATTGCTTGGTAAATATCGTCTGCTTTCAGCGTGTTCACATTTATTGTCACTGATAGTTGGATTGAACGATTCAATGTGTTGGTAAATTGGCGACAGATCTATTTTATTGGCAGGTGGGTGTCGCCCTCTGCGGTCTGGAGGAGGAACGGCACCGGATGTGTTGCCTGTCACGCTGACAATCACTCTGTCGTTTTTTGGGTGGTATCCCAGTGTGGTAAGGTAGAAGGTTTTGCAAACATCTTGAGGTTGCCCGAGGCTGTTATTTAGATGATACTGAAAAGTCTTGTTGCGTCTGCTGGGACCTGCCGTCGTGAGACGTGTTTTCAGTGATTGGGTGACTGAGTGAAATACAAAAGCCCATTTGTCGCTGTGTGACATGTCCTGATAGGCATCAAATATTTCTTTTCTTCGAACATGCAGGATCTTCTCTGTACATTTCTTTCCACATGTAGGTCCACAGGGTTTGCCCATCTTTGGTGCCTGTTGATTTCCTATTTGTACCGGACAGGATTCTTCATCCTTGAATGCCATTTCATCTTCTCCGCTCTCACTGTATGTTTCCTGTTTAACAGAATTGATTTTGAAAGTGCCAAGCACCCACTGTGCAGTTTGTTGTTCACTGATATGAACGGATTGAATCGGCTAAATCTAGTGCTGAATAATATTGATTTTAGACTTACCAAATTAGATTAATTATTCAAATTTTTTTTTTAGATTAAACACACACACCATTTATTTATAACAGTAACTACAATAAAACTTGTACAATAACAGTAGGCAACTATGAGTAACTTACCACTTTTAGTCTTGTTTCCGGACTTTCCAGGGAAGTTAATGACCTCAAATCTTCAACTGGACATTGTTTTGGACTTAAATGGTTAGCCTCTGTGATCTCGGAAACATTGTTTGCTTTGAGATCTTGCACCATCCTCATAATCTTCCTCTGCTGCTCCATAAGAATTTCTTGTTTAGTTAATATGTCATGGAGAAGTGCTGAAACAAACACAGGAATTGCAAAGTTTACCACACTACCCAAGCTATGAAACGAGCCTTACACTTAGGGCTGGGTTTTGACACAAATTTCACGATTCAATTCTGATTCACAAGCTTGCGATTCGATTCATTATTGATTATCTTGGATATATCAGGTACAGTACATGCTAGATTTACATTTTTTTTAAAGGCAGTGGCTATTTGCACTTAGTGTGTAAATAGTGTAAATAGCAATTAGATACTATTTACAAAAATAGCATATTTTTTTAGCAATAGATGCTATTTACACCATGTGAAAATAGCAGTATTTTTTTAGCGATATGCTATTTATACTAAGTGAAAATGGCTGTAGATTCTATTTACACTGTTAAAATAGCAGGATTTTCTGCTATTTAAGTGTGTAAATAGTGTAAATAGCAATTAGATACTATTTACAAAAATAGCATATTTTTTAGCAATAGATGCTATTTACACCATGTGAAAATAGCAGTATTTTTTTAGCGATATGCTATTTATACTAAGTGAAAATGGCTGTAGATTCTATTTACACTGTTAAAATAGCAGGATTTTCTGCTATTTATACCACTTATTGCAACTAGTGACAACTATAGAACTGTAGTACATTATAAAACAGTATGCAGTAACGTATTGAGTGTAAATTATAATTTTAATTCAAATTATTAAATGGATGCCACCTTATTGGGACAGTAAAGCCCTCCCTACACCTACCCTACCAGATACTTCATTTTCAACTTTTCGATTATTTCCTTCATTTTTATTTAAAATAAATGCCTTTCTGATGTGATGTGACATTTGAAAAGGGAGAAAAAAAAAAGTTTGGCAAAAGGCAGATTCAAACTCAATCTTCTTTTGTAGTGTCGACTAGCCCAATCACACGTTGGTGGGCAGAGTAGCTTCTGACAACAAGGTGGGCTATTTGCACTCATATATAAACATTTAAATAGTGGCTCTCATAACTTGACAGATTTATTCATAATTTGAAACTTGAGACTTTGTGTTATATCAAACGTAACAAAGCACAAAGCTTATTGTGATTTATTGGATGGGATGCGCTACAGTGTTCCGTTCATTAACTGAAAACAGGCTAGACTAATCGATTCTTGGTATTTAAGAATCAATATCGTTTTGCAAAAATGAGAATTGATTAAAATCGAGAAATTTATATTTTTACCCAGTCCTACTTACACTAGCAGTGAATAAATGTTAGAAAACAGAAATGAATCTTACAGGTTATGAATGGGTCA